ACTGAGGGTTGCGATCCCGTTACCGGTCACGAAAAAAGACAAAAAGAAAAAAAAAAAGAAATTTATTCTATCTTATTTTTTTTTCCTTTTTGTCTTTTTTTGTGACCGGCAACGGATCGCAACCCTCGGTGCTGCACCCGCACCTCACTCAGCCAGTGAGCGGCCGGTCTGTATGTGGGATCCGAACCCTTGGCGGGAGCCCCTCCGCACTCCCAAGCGGTGCACTATAGCAGTGCGCCACCAGGCCAGCCCTATTCTATCTTATTTTTAAAACAGCTCCATTGAGTTATTGTTGACATAAAGTAAACTGCACATATTTAAAGTGTGCAATTTGATAAGTTTGACATTTGCACAATTTTTTCTTTTTTCTCTTGGTGGTTGGCTGGTACTGGGAGCGGAACCCTTGACCTTGGTGTTACAGCACCGAGCTATAACCAACGGAGCTAAGAGGCTGGCCCAATTTTGACATTCACACAAACTTGTTGTCGTAGTGATGTTGTCTTGTGACCTGTTCTTTTCTACTTTACAATGTAGCATGAGCATTTTCTCAAGTCATGAAACATTATTTCAGAAAATTATCTTAATGACTGCACAGGATCCTATCACATGGCATATAATTTGCAATATTGAATAATGAAAGATGATTGAAATATCCAATAATAGAGAGTTAGTTGAATGAATTGTGGTCTGTTCTTAACATGAAGTACCATGTGGCCAGCAGCCTTTAAAAGTTGCTTTGTAGAATTCGTACTGATTTGAGAAAATGTTCAGAATAGATTGTCTAAGTAAAAAATTTAAAAAACTATATGTACACCTGTGTTCACTTGGACATAAAAAAAGAATAAAAAAAAATTTAAAACAGGCCTTTAAGGCTAATGGTTATTTAGGGAGTAGGATTACAAGTGGCTTTTTCTATTTCTGTGTTTTTCTGTGTTTGCTTGTTATAACCATCATAACTTAAAAAGCAAAAAGATTTCATTTTTCTCCTGAAAATTGAAAACAACCTAAGTGTTCAGAAGGGGAATTTTACATGCACGTGTTGGGATACTATAGAGTCATTTAAAATAATATTTTAAA